ATCATCATCTAGTGGAAAAGAAATATTAATAAAGCTTTATAACTAACCTGGGGAAGTATTCGGAGAAGTTTTAATTGACGTGAAGGTTCTTCGGCATATAGATTACTAGCAAACCTATGGCTTGGTCTACAACCCTTCTTAATTCATTTTGCGAAATCCAGGGATCTTCTTCTATTCCCTGATAAACGACTGAGGTGGCAGTAATATGTTCTTGCTTAGCAGTTACTAAAAAATTGTAAATTTTCGAGTATAGTTCAGAAGACATTGTTTAATATTATTAATATAGAATAAGCGACCTGAATGAAAAAATTTTGTATACTACCCTTTTAAATGTCACCATTTACGTTCTCTCTGAGTTTGAATTCATGTTGGGGAAGGAGACAGGAGAATATGCAACAGATCCTTACACCAAAATTTTGCATTAGAGAATAGGGATATACATTGAAGATCTTGACATTTTGAAAGGCATTGGGGATAATGCATATATATTTTTTTTTTCGTCTGTCCGGATTAGGATAGATTATCTCCTACATCGAAGGAGGGGGTCGATTTTATGTATGAAATTATTTTGTCGTACCAGCAGATAGTCGCACAGATGATTGGCAATGTATCACTATTACATCATATATACACTTCACAAGCTTTAACAAGGATCAGGAACATGTTTATTTATGCTTTAGCACTTTAACGTTTGTCGCACATGCTTACATACATTAGCATAAGATGCGGGTAAATATACTCTGTGGCTAAGATAATATTCGAGAACTTTCATCAAGAAAAATATATGTGAATAAGATATATATCAAGAAAGTAATGGTCTATATTAGAATCATTTCTCAATCAACAATTGTGATTTCTACCCCATTTCTTAATCTTAACGTAGTACCTTTTGGCTGATTAAGATGGTTTAAGTTATTTTGTTTTGCGTATATAGATGAGATAAATATTTCGCTCTCACTTGTTCTATCAAACTGCGGAAGGGAATCCCGCCGAATCTGTAGTATATTTTTTTCAGGATAAAATACCCCCCTCCGGTCAGAAGATTTTTCACGTAATATTTCTGACTTCGAGCTTGCGAGAAGATGGGCTTCTATATGTTTATTAG